CACACAGTAATTAATTCCCTTGTGTTATCTGTATTATAATGGTGGAGCTTAACCTGCATGTTACGATAAGTTTATTTTAATATCTAAACACACACGAAACACAAATGTTTATTCATAGGAAAATACATACATACCCAGAGAAAGAAACATGTATATATTTGCATGTATAAATATACTTTGTACACCAAAGTTATTGTAATGAATATTTAAACACCAGAGTAAATCTATATATGCATGTAAATAAATAATTAAAATAGCGAGTGTAGAAAGAGAAAGAGAGAGAGAGAGAGAGAGAGAGAGAGAGAGAGAGAGACAAAGAGACAGGCAGACAGGCAGACAGAAGAGGAAGACCGAATAGGGAAGTGAAGCGAACACTCACATCTCCAGGTAATTGCTTCCAGGTACGACTGAGGGCCAAGGAGACGAACAGGTGAGGAGAGAATGGCGACCAGGGGGAGAATGATGCATAGAACAGAGAGAGAGAGAGAGAGAGATGCTATGTGAGAGGAGGAGATTAGATAGAGAAATAGATAGATAGATAGTTAGATAGGGAGAGAGAAAGAGAGGATTACACTTGAACAATGACGAGGAGATTATGATGGATTATTATGACACATCAGGGAAGGGAGGTAATGAGAGACAGTGTCCAGGAGAGAGAAGAGAGACAGAGACACAGAGAGACAGGGGAGGGAAAAATATCATAAGACATAAAAGAAGTGTGATGATAAATGAAGGGTGAACACAGAAGGAAGAACAATAATTATAAAAAAAACCTGAAGAAGTAAGGGGAGAATAATTACAGAAACCGAGGGCTAGAAGGAGGAAGATAACGATAAGGAGGATGAAGGAGGGTGAAGGAGACACACGATAAACAAAGGATATTGAAGTCCTTGATAAAAATGTTAACACAGAAAAAATATAAAACTTCCCCCATTATACGAAGCCATATATAACAACGAAAGGGAAATGAGATTAATCTGTCAAAATTGTGGTGGAGGAAATGAATCGATTTATATCCTTCTGGGGGGAAATAATTCTCTGTGAGATTTGTATCATGACACCATTTTTTTTTTAACCCATTATTCTGTCACAGGAATAAATGACAATAAGGGGAGTATTGTTAAGGTTCCTGTGTACTGGAGACTCACAAACTCCTGGGAATATGACTTTATAGACAGAGTGGAAAGGTTAATGGGAATGATCTCAATTGAAATGAATTGTTGAAATACTGACTGTCAAACATAATTATATCCTGTTAGGGAAACCCAGTGTCGGTAGAAATGCTGATTGTTAGGAGAGAGCAATGTCAGTAGAAATGCTGACTGACGAGGGAGAGAACTGTCAGTAGAAATGCTGACTAAGACGAGATGAAAAGTTTTGCATGACAGTGAAAGATATGTTGAAGGGAAGCTAGATAGATAGATAGAGAGAGAGAAAGAGAGAGAGTGTGTGTGTAAAATTTTCAACCAGGAGACAATGTGGTGGCCACGGTGTTGTTGAGGTGTGAGAGGCGTGAGAGGGAGAGGGGGGAAGGACGGAGAGGTCGTGATGAAGTGGATGAGTTCGGGAAGAGAAATACCATAATGAGGGAGAATAGTAAGGGGGAGGAGGATACTTGTGGAATGACAAAGAGAAGAGTGGGAAGGACAAGAGGTGCTGGGTCATAACACCTCGGGCTGTTCCTACACCCACACACTCTATTACCACACTCTCTCCAACACCCACACTCTCTCCAACACCCACACTCTCTCCCACATCCGCACACTCTCATTACAGCCTCTTACACCCACACACTCAGACCAAACCCTCTTCCAACCACACACTTCTGCAGGCTCTCTCTCTCTCTCTCTCTCCCTGTTCTCTCTCCCTCACTCCCTGTCCTCTCTCCCTCACTCCCTGTCCTCTCTCCCTCACTCCCTGTCCTCTTATCTTCACCCTTAGGCCACTCACTGTGTTTCCCCTCAGAGCGTCATTCGTCTTAGGAAAAAAATATGTGCTTATGGCTGCCTGGTAACTTTGGTACGATAATGTCTGGTCTTACATATGTGTACGACTGCCAGCGGGGGTCTACGGCCGCTAGCTTGTTGGCTGACACCCCTGCTGACGATTCCTATAACTCGCTGACGATATCCACACCTCGCTGACACGTTCCACACGCCGCAAGACATACATAATGGTTTAAGATATCCACAAAATGGCTACAGAATATCCTGATATATCCAACGAACGGATTAAGACTGTCTCCCATTATACTAACCAGGGCACACCTCAGTCCACCCAGCTGCACAAATGGGTATCTGACTTTTATAGTTTAGGAAATATAAGGCTATCGAGTGTACCGAAGGTTTACTGTACTGCCACTAATGGGCGGACAGGCTTACGTGCACCACTTACACTTCTCAGAGTATGTTTTAACAATTAGATTAGGACGAAGATAGAATTAAAAGTAATAATGATAATAGTAGGAATATTGATAATGATAATGACAGTACTATTACTACTACTACTACTTCTACTTTTTTATAAAATGGTCTCCAACCTCCCCTTACAGCCACTCCTTCGCCACCATTGTATTACCTTAAAATTAAACATCCTAATACATAAGTAGCTATCCTAGCTGTGTTAGTTGAGTTAGTTGAGCCGCAGATCTATGCGGCATTCAGTGACTGTTGCCTCCTAGTCAATATCTGCAACTGTTGTCGGCTTTGGGGCTGATACTCTCGTTCCCCTGAGGCAGAGCAAAGCCGACCTAAGGAGAGAGAAGGACAGTCAACATCTCATCCAGGCTGTAACATAACTTCTGGGCTGCTGCTTCTGTTCGGAGATCACCTCCGCGAGTCTGGCGAAGAAACATCCTGCACTTGGTCCCATCCCACCAGAGGTTGTGAACACTAGAGGAGTGAAGCTGCCTTGATCAACGTTCTGAATTCTCTCCCCATATGCCCTTATCTTGTCGTTCTCGTTCCTCCTGTGTGCAGCATTGAGAGCTAGGTTACGGTGACATGCGGCCATGGGATCTACTACTACTTCTACTACTACTACTACTACTACAGTACTACTACTACTACTACTACTAATAATAATAATAATAATAATAATAATACAAGACAGCAACAACAACAAAAATAATAATAACTATAATAATAATAATAATAATAATAATAATAATAATAATAATAATAATAATAATAATAATAATAATAATAATAATAATAATAATAATAATAATAATAATAATAATAATAATAATAATAATAATAATAATAATAAATATTGTTGTCACCTTAATAGTAAACACTTAATGGCGTCTTAAATAAATAAGATTAATGAATATGAGAATCTGTGGAAAACTCAAACGTAACACCACATAATGCTAACCACTGAGCGAGGAATTTATATTTGTTAGTTGTTAATATCACAAGCATTAGATAATTCGCCGTATTTCTGTTATCTAGTCACCCTACTACTATCAGACTGGAGTAACTCGTTATCCTAAGCTAGTCTGTGTATACCATGCTAGTTTCTAGATCTGGTGTAAAATGATAGCAAAATATACACTGAAGAAGAAACGAAACATGACATCAGGAACGATACTTTTACGTTCATAACTTGTGATTCGTTTTAGAGAGTTATGACGAGTGTTGATCTTCTGCGTCTTTTGCCGTGACGTAAAAATCTCGTCGACGTCTGCATCAGCTGGAGTGTTTTAGGCGTTTCTCTTACGAAGTCTTGACTTTAATCTTTGCTTTCTCTTATCAGCACTCCCGTCTGTCTCCTCTTCTGATGTTATCTTTGGTTTTCTTTCTCTCTCTTCGTTGCTATTTCCCTCGGCACATCTGTTCTCTTCTGTTTAAAATATAACTTTTCTTCTGCCCTGTGCCACCTTCTTTCCCTGTACCATCATCTTCTTTCACTGTACCATCATCTTCTTTCACTGTGCATTCACCTTCCTTCCCTGTGCCACCTTCCTTCCCTGTGCCACCATTCCTTCCCTGTGCCACCATCTTCCTTCCCTGTGCCACCATCTTCCTTCCCTGTGCCACCTTCCTTCCCTGTGCTACCATCTTCCTTCCCTGTGCCACCATCTTCCTTCCCTGTGCCACCACCTTCCTTCCCTGTATCACCATCTTCCTTCCCTGTACCACCATCTTCCTTCCCTGTACCACCATCTTCCTTCCCTGTGCCACCATCTTCCTTCCCTGTGCCACCATCTTCCTTCCCTGTGCCACCATCTTCCTTCCCTGTGCCACCATCTTCCTTCCCTGTGCCACCTTCCCTTCCCCAGCGCCACCACCTTCCTTCCCTGTATCACCATCTCCCTCCCTGTGCCACCATCTTCCTTCCCCTGTACCACCATCTTCCTTCCCTGTGCCACCATCTTCCTTCCCTGTGCCACCATCTTCCTTCCCTGTGCCACCTTCCTTCCCTGTGCCACCATCTTCCTTCCCTGTATCACCATCTTCCTTCCCTGTATCTACATTCCCCTAACATATCCTTCATAAGGTCTCTGCACTGCTTCCTCCCTTATGCTGGCTTACTAAATTCCATTATGTATGTCCACGGAACAAAGCAGCCAATGCAGGAAGGCAATAGGAAGTAAACATCCATTTCACGGCGCAACTCCCTGGCTTAACTTGTACAATAAGGAGGAAACTTTAACAATCAGTAAACACTATTCATCTGTATCAAATAGATGAAACATTGCTGACTCTATCTTTATGTTTACTCATTCACCAACATCGACCTTCACATGACACTACTGCACGAGGGAGAATGTGTGTTTATATAATAATGAAACCTCCATATAAAGGACTTCTCTATCCTTATATGCCGTTAG